TCTTTAATTTATCCTTCTAAAACTTGATAATATCAATGTACATCTTTATGATATCTATGATCATCAACATTTGCAACTCTCAAAAAACATAATTTAATTTAAAGCATAATTTGTAGACCTTTACAATACTTCATGATATCTATAATTATCAACTATAATTTCTAACTCTCACAGAACATCTCCAACACACTCTTCCAAAACCTGATAATATTAAAGTACAATTTGTACATCTTTATGATGTGTGTAATCATTTGCAATTGCCAAGAAACACCCCTGACAATATTGAAGCATATAATTTGTGCTATTAAAGTGCAATATAATTGTAACAAGTGCATATAATTTGTAACATTAAAGTACAATTTTCACATCTTTAAATACTTCATGATATCTACAGCCAATCAACATTCCCAATTCCCTGAAATCTGTACAGTATTGAAACATAATTTGTACACCATTCACAATCATCATCGATCCTCCAACTCTGAAAGAAAAAAGACACCAACGTACCCTGTTAAAACTTCAGAAGCTAACGTTGCTGGATTTGTCGCAGATACACTCGACAGGGGTTTATTGAAGGCAGGCAACTGGATACCGATTTTCCTGACGGTGGTTGTATGCGGTACGTTCGCCTGCGGCGTGATCGCTGTCTTCATTATCTACCGCTTCATCGTCGAGGACGTTCTCGATGGGAATCCAGCGTTAACGATCGTGCTGATACTGGCCAACGTGTTCACCCTGCAGACGGTACTACCGTTTTCCATCAACGACGATTATTTAGGCGCCGAGCACCTGAACTCGAGGAAAATCCTCGTCACTACCCTCGCCTTCGGATTGGACTTCTCCGTCATGCTGTCCAGAGCGTTTTTCCTAGTTTTCTCCAAAGGTGGTGTCTTTACTGCTCACATTAACGGATACCTCCAGGGACTGATGGTGTTCTTCATGTTCTGCGTGCAACTCGCGATATCCGTCATGTTCTTCGCTCTCAGCACCGACGACTCGGCTGTCGTTGTCAGGAGTTTGATCTTCATCGCTCTTCTAGGTAAATCATCGTTCCATGAGTTTTTTTTTTTTTTTTTTTTTTTTTACTTTTTATTAAAAGCAACTTGTGCCATGGAAGTATCCTGTCGTCGTTGAAATCGTTCACTGATGAAACAATTTAGGGGAAAAGGATTGATTATTATTAGTTTCCAAGGTCCAGTGAATGATGGGGTTGCAATGTGCTAAATTAGCAGATCTACATTCAAAAACGAAAATAATTGTTCTCTGTTTCTTTATTTATTTTTGCACCTATTATTGTGTCTTACTAGTAATGAAACTCGTCTAGTAACAAATGATAATATGAAATGATGTTTCATCGATTGAAAATTTTGTTTTTGGACATCAGAGATGTATGTCTTTTTATGGTATAACTTTCATTTTTAATGAAGAATAATTTTCACTGTATACATCCGTATATTGTTCTTACAATTAGGGAAAGCTTTTCCAACTTCGACGACAAAAACTGCATTCACACAATGAAGAATATTGGTGCTTAAATTTTTATTCTCGTTAAATTGAATTAAGCTTATCCTCCTTTATTTTCTATTAATCGTCCAGATTTCTATTCTTCCTCGATCTTTCGAATTACAAGTCACATATTTTTCTTTCCTCCTCCGAACCAACTCACCAGAAATTCTCGACAAAACCACTACATGTTTATAGCCCTGCTACGTCTCCCATAAAACTGCATCCGGCCCAGCAACCATAAGAATCCAGCTAATAAAATTAATTCCAGGCTACGATATATTTCTACTGGTCAGCCTGTTCGTGGTGTGCTTCTTCATCTCGCGACTGCCGCGCAATTATCGGGAAGGCAAGTGTTTCTTCGGCACCTCGATCGGCCTTCTGATCGTCTGGGCCATCTGGCTCACATGTTTCATCCTCGTCGAGCCAGAATGTCGGGACACGGTCGTGTCGTTCGGGATTATTTCGACGGCCTACCTGATCATTATCGGTGTGCTGATACCGAGAACGTATTACATGGTCAAGCATCTGGCCCGGGGCAAAGAATTCGGACAGAGATTCGGATCGACCGATCTAGGACCGGATCACAGGATCAATACGATCGCCAGGCAGGTTAGAACGATGAAACGATTGTTGTTTGCTGGATCGATTGATTGGTAGCACGTGTGATGTTTTTTATATAATGTAGACTAGAAAACTTTCTTTTTCTTCTTTTCTAGCTTTCTACGTTCACTTACTAGGACGTTGACTCTATATTAATTCGTTCTGTGAATTTTCTTCTTGCTTACTAGTACACGAGGATCGGAGATTTTGAACTTTTAATTTTTATTTTTAGAATTCCTCGCGATTCGTTTGTGTATTCTCTGTGATTTGTAAATTTCTGCACGTCGAATGATGAAAATATTTGACGAGGCGTCAAATATCTATCTCGAAATATTTTTATTTCGTTAAAATGTCCACTTTTAGAACTTGAGAATAACTACAGAAAACATAAATATCTTGTTGCTTTCTATGGCCTTATATCATTTTATCGTCGTACACGCAACATTTCACGCGCGGCAAATTTGTTTCACATCGAATAATAGAAAATTCACTGCTTTGTAATTACTTTCTTCCTTTTTCCTTTTCCTTGAACTTTCCCTTCAAGATCGTTCTCCAACGTAACAGAAAAAGAAAAGGAATCCGATCATGACGAACATTTTTTTTTTTTTTCCCCCCCCCCATTCACGCAGAATCGTCCATTTTACGATTACGTGCACTCTGGCGGCGGAAGTACGACGAACTTGCAGGTGACGTCCGCCTATCCAAACTATTACGGAAGCCCGAGTCCGAATCAGAAGTATCTAGGCCAGTGTCGAAGTTCCGAGACGAGGAGAATCCCTGGATACAACAATTACGGATACCACTCGGAGATGCGAGAAGTGAATAACTCGTACACAATACCGCAAGTCTGCATCGAGGATGCGGACGTGAGATTTTTCATTTTTTCTCCCTTATTTTTCTCGTAGATCTCTTCGTACTTTTGCCTAGCGCTAGCAGAACTCAAACATTCGAGACGAAAGCGAAGACGATCGAACGTTTGAAACGTCGCGAGCGAATTGCAAGAATAAAGTGAGGGAATACTTGTTGATAAATTCGAAGATATACTGGGGAAAGATATCTTGCGACATAACTTCGCGGAGATCTTCCCTCTCGCGAGAATTAGATTTTCTCTAGATTTTAGCAGAATGTCCCTCAAAGTTCTAGTATTCTTGTCGAGCCAATTTTCATGCAAAAGCTGCGTCAGAAAGTAGAGTACACGGTTCGATAGGACGGCGAGGCAAGCAGATTCGTTAAGAATTAAGGAAATTACATTTGCAGTCAAGGGCGAGCCCGGTGGATCGGAGCGACGCGAACGCGACGTACGCCCGGCCAAAATGTCAGCGGAAACGGAAGCCCAAGGACGGGAAAAATTGCATCGAGACCGACGTGTACGTCGAGGGTAGCCGTAAATCCCACGATGAGATCTATCCAGCACGATCCAACAGCCCTAGATTAACCCAAACCGAGGCGACCATACGCGAGGAAGACGAGGACGACGAAATTAACAGGATCACGCGATTCTAACATTTTATCGATAAACTGAAACGTTAAGTTGAGGCTAAGAATACTTGACTTTCATTTAATTTCCATTCCACAATTTTTATTTGATCT